ACTGACTCATCTATAGATTGTCATCACCCTTTCTCTCAAGAGTTTTGGGCAGTGCCTGGTGCAGAGCAGGCACAGAGACCCCACACTGACCAAATACTTGTGGCTGGAAATCACCGTTTGTGATTTTGTGTTTATGTACCACCATGTTTCTGTGACAGCAGGTGCCCAACACCAAGATCTTTATCAAACCTTTTGGTCCAATCACAAGCAAGCTCTTGTTGACACCTGTGACATGCAAAAAAATACACCCTAAGACTCAGGTTGTCACCTTATATATAACTGTCAGTTTCTTGAAAGGCAATTATTAAACCAACATGTTAAAAGAATCAAAACGTTATCACTTATGCATGCATAGATGCTGTGTACTTGTGAGAAGGGGGGGGAAGCAATGTCTTCATCTTTGTGGTGAATGGACCGACTGTCTTAATAAGCTCCATTTCTTCAGGATGATAAGCCACGGCTGTCAAGGAGATTCCTTAATTTTCTGGTCATATTAAGAATAGTTTGGCAGACAGAACACACACAGTAAGCCTGTGTATAGACACACACAAGCACAAAGGCAACTCATCACAGGAGAAATAGCAACCTTTCTAAACTGTCTCTCCAGCTTCCCTTTTCTCTTACAATCTGTCTTTCCTCTCTTCTCATCTTATCTGTGTGTACAGCAAGCTCTTGGCTCTTGTAATCACACCCAGAACCTGAAGAAAGGATCATGTAACAGATGACTTCGCTGACAGTGATAAAGAATTTATCTAATAGACTGAAGCAAAGATGAACCTAAACTTGGGCTACTGCTCACTATAACTCACTGACCTCCGCCATCACCTACAAACACTGGGAATTTACTCCTAAAAGCAAAGGCTCACAATATAACATTAAATTCCATATACCATAAACAAGACCTCTGGTTACTATGACAATGGGTTCCCCTAACCCAATTTATGAAACTTGCTTCTTGTAGAAGGCAAGAATGAATAAATGAATGAACGAGGCCAAGGCAGTATCAGACTAAATGACCGAAATCAATGGTAGGTAAAGTGAACATGAATGGACATGTGGATGGCCATTCATGGTCATTATTTGGAAAGAGTGACAACTGTTATATGGAACACATATATGAGGTGGCTCAGTGGAGGTTTGCCTAGCATGATAGTGCCCCAGGTTTGTGTGTGGGTGTCCTCAAGATGCCAAAAGCAGGCCTCAGGTGTCTGCCTCAGGTGTCTGCCTCAGGTGTGCCCCCCTTACTGAACATCTTCCCACTTAACTCTGGAGTCCCTCTTCATAAATCTCATGTCATTCTTGAAACAACTGCTCCAACTACTGAAAAGCAAATCACTGTATGGTCATGGTGTGGAAAAAGCTCTATTTCTACACTTAGAGTCCTGCTGGTCAGTTCCGTGCTGAGGACCTTAACCTTCCTTTCCGGAGGTCTTGCAGGCCATGGCCTGTTCCTACTACAACACCCTGTTGCCTCCTGTCTCTCTAGTATCCCTGCCTGCCTCAAGACATCCACTAAGGCCTTTTTTTCTCCTAATTTAACTTTCATGGACCAGTTGAAGTGTAAACCTAAACTCAGTGAAAATGCATTGAGTTCCAGAAGTCTGAAGCACAGGACACTGGGCACTGTCTCCCACCACAGTGACTAAAACAGTATAGAAACTCAAGAAATTTGTTGCTAGGGGACTTGTGGGTGCTCAATAAAACTATTCCCTGAACTACCAATGACAAGGAAGCAAAGTGGGGTAAATTACCTAATGGAATCAATCCAAAAGACACTTGTATTCATTAACCAAGCTACTTAAGGCAGGAATGTGTTCTGCTCGTAATGATTTGGATTATTATTTTAATTGTCACTTTTCAACTATTATTTTAATTGTCACTTTTCAACTAAATACTTCAACACTAGTTTGCAAAACATTGAAAGGTGAATATTCTCGAAGGTTAGTTTCCAATACCATCCTGAAGAATTACTCATTAACTCCGGTTTCCAAATTCTGTCCTGGGTGGCTTACAGAAGACACGCACCAGATACTTGGGGTTGAAATATCTGCTCAACTACTCAGATGCCCAAAGCAGTGTTTGCCTGAGGCTAAAATGTTTTCCAACAAGGGATTGATACGTTTCAAAGAGATAACTGAGAAACGACCAACGAAGAAAAAAAGGAAAAAGAAAGCCTATAGTGGTGGGGGTGGGGGAAACGGCGAACCTATTTTCAATTTACAAGTCCTTTTCTAAAGCAGGTCCCCAACCCCCCAAATCGAGAAACGTAGATAAAAGACCGGCATACAAACCCCAGGGGGAGCTCCCGTGGCCCCTCCCACCAAACCTGCATTCTTTAAAAAAACACATTTCTTTCTTGAAAGCCTGCCAAGCCTCCCCCCAGAATAATTCCATTTAAAAAGCCCCCACCCGCGAGGAAACATTAATCTACTTTGCAAACACGCGTTCCAGTTTGTGCTTTACTATTTTTTTTCAACCCCCACCTCCACCGCCCCCCCCTTTTTTTTTGTACCTTGAGACAAATGTTTTTTTCCCCCAGAGTTGAAAGCAGTCCAAAAACAGGACCACACACGCGGCCGCCTCCGCAGGCCCGCGCGGCGCCCGCCCCCCGCGCGCCCCGGGGGCGCGCACACTCCCTGCAGCTAGAGGGGTGGCCTTGCCCTCCACCCCCTCTCCTTTCTCCGCAAACGCGGTGGGTGGGTGGGGGGAGGGAAGGAAGTCGAGCCCAGAAGCCCAGATCCGAGAGGCCCTCCTCCGGCCGCTGGGACCCTGGCCAGAGCCAGGCGGACGGCTGTGGCGGACCTCAGGGACCCCCCCACCCCCACCCCCGCGGGCCTTGCCGAGTGGTCCGTCCCGCGCAGGGGCCTGGCGCCCCCGCCACTCTCTCCCACCACACCTAGCAGGCGCAGCGCCCCGAGTAGATTACAGCGCGGCCTTTGTCGGGCGGGCCTGGCCTTAGGCCAGGCATGCAAACAATAAACAGTCGCCCCTGGTGCGGGCAGGGGCTTCGCTGGCCACAGCAAGGCTCTAGGTGCAGGCTGGCAAATATCTTTATCAAACACAGGGAAGGGAAGGAAGAAGACGAAGGACGCGCGCCAGGTCTCTTACCTTCCACCCACAGCTCTTCCACATTGGTCTCGAGATTAGCTGCCTTTAATCCTACAGCGAAGGCCCCAAATATGAGGAGACCCACAACCAAAAATTTGCCGCAGTTCTTTTGAATGTAACAACCCAGTTTAAATAAGAGTCTCTGAAACTTCGCTCTCAGCCACAGCGGTGCTTTCCGGCCAGTAGCCTTCCCCTGGGGACGAAGCAGAAGGGAGGAGTGAACGCCTAGGAATCACTATCCGTGCGCACCCGCCTGGGGACACCCCCCCCCCCCAGCAGTGGAGGGCGTGAGCGGCCGTGGCTCAGGGAGAGCCCCAGGGTCATGGGGGACTAGGTTGTAAATCAGAGCGAGGTTGCAGCGTGGGAACTACACCCTAGGGACACAGGGCGCCCCCACGCAGCCTGAGCACCATCCCTGAATGAGACTTGGGGTGCTGGGGAAAGAGGCTAACAGAGGAGCCAACAAAAACAGGCAGGCACTAGTGTCTCGGACCTGGAGAGGTAGGGCCTGAGTGATCCTAGTGGAGAAGCCCAACACTAAACCATCAGGCCACGACCCCCTTTGCCCTAAGTCCTGCTACAGCCTTTCGGCCTCTTCGGATACCCCGGAGGCGGGTGAAGAGCGCAAGCGCACTTAGGGACACTATACAGCGACCGTGGACCTTATGGCCTCCGGCCTGGCGTGGCTGCACGCGGGGGTCCACGTGGTAAGCCCGGCAGCCAGAGCTCGCTCCAGACACTTCCACGGCTTTGGGAGACGCCACAGGAGCTCAGTTAGGAAGTGCAGCAGCCATCTGCAACTTACACTTATTTGTGCTCTGAAGAGGGCGGCCACAAGGATCTTTCCCTCCTCTCCCACTCCCTCCTGGTGAAATCTTTAAAAAAAAAAAAAACAGCCAAGTGTACGGGGAAGAGGCCCAGGCCGGCGCCGGCGGGGGTCCTGGCTGGGCGCAGGCTGCTCTCGGGACGGCGGTGCCCTGGTGCTGGCCAGGGACCCTACAGGCCCCAGGCTAGGTACTCGCCTTCGCCGGATTCCACACATTTCAGCCATCCCCGTAAACACAATGAACCCGGCGGTTCCGCACACCAGCACCGAAGATTTAAGGTGGCAACTTGTTTACAATTGCCCCTCTCTCCAGCAGGCTGGGAGAAGAGGCGGCCCAAAACCTGGAAGAGAGGGGACGTCCTCTCCCGAGAATAATTTTTAAGGGAGCAGAGATTTCAAGCTCAACGAAAGCAAAACCGGCTGCCAAAAAAGGAAACCACCTTTACTTTGGCTCCCTCCCCTCTGCCTCTCTCCGCCTCTCTCCACTCCGCCTCCCCCACGAAGAGGTTAAGAAATGTGGCAACGCTGAGATTTAGGCTACAACCGAGGGCAGGGGCGCGGGTGAAGGGCGCTAGGGCCGGGGGCAGTGCTGCACCGCGGCCGCCCTGGAGGTGGTCCACTCAGGACGGTTTCCAAAGCTCCGGAAAAGGCACACCAGGGAGGGCGTGTGCGCGCGCACACACCACACACGCACATACACACGCACGCACGCACCCCTCCACCCCCTGCGGACCTCAGACAGCCCTTTCCTCCGAAGTCCGGAGGGAGGGTTTGAAATTTTCAGACTTCACTTGTCTTCTGCTTTCTCAGGAGAGTGTCTGTGTGCGTGTGTGGCAGGGATCCCAAAGAGGAAGAGGAGGGAAGAGTGGAGAGGGAGGAGGGAACAGACGTGCACCTTGGAAATCTGCTCCAGAGCGAAGGCGGCGTCGCAGTAGCTGGGCCGGTGCAGATAGTCCCGGTCCGGCACGGCGCAGTGCGGTCCCCCGGTCCGTCTGCGCCTCCCGCCGCCGGCCTGCCTGCCCAGGGCCCCGGCGGCGTTA